CCGCTGTGGGCTTCCGAGTCCTGGTTATGAAGGGGGTAGCCGCTGTGGGCTTCGAGGGGTGGGTCATGGGGAGGGGTACGAAAGGAAGGTTTAAAGGGGGGTGGAGGGGTGGGGTAAAGTTCCAAAATGGAGAGTTGAAAGTTTGAAAGTTGATTTTGATTGGAAAATGATTGCAAAAGTATACGGTTACGACCGTCTCTGATACGTGTAACGGTACGAAACGGGGAGTTTTGAATAGAAAATGATTATAGTTTCAAAAAGTTGAGCGGAAAATGATTACTGCAAACTTTCGTTGACTGGAAATTGATGATTGCCCTCCGCAGAGTCTGTTCTGGGCCGGCGGCACTGAGTCACGAGTCACGGCGTTCAACGGACGGTTTCTTCCCCGGTCAATGATCGATGATCCGATCAGATTGGACTCCCGGATCCGATCGGTCAGCCGGATCGGAAGGGTTCTGGTCCGACGGACTCCCGTCACTCGGACTCACAGAGTCAGCCTCCGGGCGGTGGCATGCCGCCGCGTACTTGAAACTGAGTTCCGTTACTAAGTTTATTGGCTCAGCCTCTGTGACAACTGCAGTGTATTGAGACGCCGCATTGAGCCCGGCTCAGTGCCAATGGTCACTGTACAGGCGCATGTCATGCCCGGCATGCTCAGCAATGGTCCTAGTCGCCGGGACTCCCCGGACCTGCCTCCGCTCCGACTCAGCGGCCGCACTCAGTGAGTACTGGCCGCCCGGCTAGTCACTCCGGCCCATGCACAGCCTTGGCTGCGGCTGTTGACCGCCGGGCTGACCGGTCGGACCACCGCCGCATCATTACCTCCCGGCCGGCCCGACGGTGCGTGACCACAGTGCCGTGGCCGACAGTCCAGCCAGGCCGGGGGACGGGCAGCCTGGCAGGCCGGGCAGTGTTGCACAGTGCTGCCCGCCCCCGAAGGACTACGAAGGATCCGAAAGGCTACGAAGGACCCGACAGGCTACGAAGGCTGGTATACAGATGGGCTAGGCTCCGATCGGTCACCCGGCGTGAATCATCCGAAAGAGCCATGTCTGAAACGGTCGCCCGAGCCCTCGTCCTGGCCGGCTGGTACTTCATCGTACTCTCCTTGAACCAAGGTAGCCCTTATCCAAAGGGACCGGCATGGAGCCTCCTGCAAAGAACCATCAAAATCTTTGGAAGCAGAGGTGCTGGTACGTTCAAGGATGAGGCTGAGAGAGAAGTTTAGAAAGCAAACCTGGTCCGTCAGTCCTTGGATTGACATTCCGAGACAAAAGGTTGTTCGCATCCTTGCAAGGCATTGACGATTTTGCATTCGTCTTCAGCAGCATGTCAGCGCTAGCGTGCCCCCGTGCAAGAATCTACCTTCAATCCATCCCAGCATTCGTAAACAATCTGACCCCTCTTCGCAGTCGCATCAGACCAATACCTACAGCGCTGTCATGGACGAATGATGGTCATTGACTGGGTCGTATTACAAGAATGATTGTCCTTGCCCTTGTTCTGCCAGCTTTGTCGGCTCATTTGAGTTGTCTGCACCAGCGAGAACAACTGTGAGTTGCATTGTAGTGAATAACAAAGAAACGGTATGCCTTCAATGTAGGTGAAACACAGCGCCGCACAGCATGCAAGCATGCACACAAGAGCAAGCTGTTTCTGGCCATTTAGATTCATCTTGACAGATGCTCCTGTGCAAACATCCCATCAGGGTTTCGCTCCCTCACTCCCTCGCTCGCTCGCTCGCTCGCTCGCTCCCTCCCTCCCTCCCTCCCTCCCTCCCTCCCTCCTCCCTCCCTTCTTCATTCCTCCTTTCCCCCTCCTTCTCTCTGGCCCTCCGCGCCTGCCTCTCCCTGATCTCATGCTGCCTCGCTCCTGCCACCGGTGACATTCCTCGGTACAAACCCCAACCCACCGAAGGGTCAGATGGTAACTTGACTAGAGTGTGGTAATTTAGCAGGAGGGGTTGTTATTTCTGTAATGATGATATGCAGCGAGGAGGGGTTGAGGAGGGGGGATGGGGGAGAGGCAGAGGCAGAGAAGAGGCAGAAGAGGAGGGGGAGGGGGAGGGGGAGGGGGAGGGAGACGGGGACTGTGAGAGCATGCACGGGGGGCGGATGAGAGGGAGAGGGAGAGGGAGAGGGAGAGGGAGAGGGAGAGAGAGGGAGGGAGAGCATGGCTGTCATGTTGGAACGATACAAAGCCTTTGATGAAAACGTGACTGAGTTTGAAAATGGTTGCGGTGGAGATACTGAATATCATGATCATGTCCATCTTGTTTTCCGTGATGGATCTGATGATAGAGATGCCAAAGAATTACTGTTTTTGTGCCTGCATGCAGCGGGAATATCTGAAAAATGCACAAGGATGCAACATATCTTGTGGGCAGAGAGCAGGGTGATCACGATTTGTACCAAGAAGGGATGGCTCGTCAGGGAAGAGGAGGACAGATTGAGACTAGCGCTTAATAGGAGGGGAAGTGATGCGCTTCAAGGATGATGAGTGTTAATCCTAGCAGGGCTCGACGCCTTTGATCGGATGTTCTCTATCCTCTCCAGACTGGTAGTTCTTGTTCATGAATCGCCATGCTTTTTGCAAGGTGACTTGACCTTTCTAGACATTCCTGGCATATGGAGACGCCAACGACACTGTTGGTCTGAACCCAAACAAGGTATTTAACGAACAGCATAATCTGTTTGCTCAAGGTCCGCAAGGTGTTTGGTGGAGCTCGGAAGTTCTGTGAGGAGGAACTGGGAAAAGACTCTCCTTCACTGGACAAGTGTGAATCACAACTGCTCAAGGATGCCACGGGGATATGTGGAGGAGTAATTGACAGGTAGCTGCTGTATGTTTGTTTTCAGCACGTACCTTATCTCGTTGTGTCACAGGTATGGCACTTGCTATGCGCCCAAAGGAGGCGTTCAAGATGGATCAGTTCCTTCTTGAGCCATTAGCAGCCTGCGGTGGGCGATGGACTTGTCTATTTATTCTTTCTCCCTTGCATGTTTCCCAGTCTTCACGGTTCAACGGTTCTAGAACGATCGCAGCATGTGGAGAAGACAATGTGATGAACAAAATTGAACTCATTTATTGTAACAAAAACTTGTATCCTTTTCTCACACACTCAACAACTAGCATTGCGAATCTTTACTCTGCGTCCGGCGCAGCTTCTCCACAGCAGAGAGCACGTTTGTGAGCAAGAGGCCAGGAGGTCCTTGGCAATCGATACGCAGAGATCTCTTTGGCTCTGATTGAGAGCGGCCGCAGGATTCCTCTATCATGATGCGGCGACGAGCTGCTGGCTCAACCCTCCACTCTAACTCATGCTGCGATTGCTCGCTAGTGATTGAGCTAGTAGATGTCGAGCGTTGGATTATGGAATCGTCGTGATAGGAAGAGGTTTCACGTGAATCAATTCTGTCGTCTTGGGAGGGCTCAGGCATCATTGACAAGGAAAGTTTCCGAGAGGACATCTATACGTAGTTGAAGGAGATGGGTGCTTTTCGCGAAATCACCCCGCAACAAGATCTGAAGGCACCGAATAAAGGCAGCAGGGCAGAAGAAGGTAAGAAACGAGAGCTCAGTGGCAGGAAGAGGACGAAGGAGGGACTAGAAAGGCGGGTAGGGGGGCAAGGAGGGCAAGGAGGATAAGGAGGACAAGGAGCGCAGAAAGATGCTTTGGTTCGTTTCTCGCAGGAGGGGACTTGAAATGATGAGAACAGACCTTCGGAAAGAGCGGGGCAAGGAGGAAAGTCTCCGTGAGGACGGGTACTCCAGCAGTCGGGTGGACCGGTCTGCGGAGAAGATATATTGTTATGGACTCGAAAAAACATCCTTTCAGAGACACCCTCCGTGCTGACAACGGCAGACCGATCTAGGGGTGACCTCCACCCTCCCATCAAATCTATATATCACCCGTGGGTAAGCAAGATGTTGTCAGCAACCGTTCGGATTCTCTAAATACGGGTACCAATATCTTTACGATTCGGGCCATCCGTTGGGGCGGACCAAATCTGCTGATGTTTAGGGCCTCGAAACGCTGTCTCTTGTCCGTTTACTTCATGGCGCAGCCCTGTAGTAAAATAGAGTATGCCCCAACATTGTCCCCAAGTGTCGCCAGTAGTACTACATGACCAGGTACCGTCACCGGTTGGAGTGTACTTGGATTTAACTTAACTTTGAGTAAAACATTCCACTGGAGCATTCGAGTCTCATCACGTCACACTCACGTCACGAGCGCGCGCGGCCGGCCCCCGGCCCGGATAATGACCGGGGCCGGCAGGGCCCGCGGCCGCCCGGCCCGGCCCCCCTCACAGTGCCGCCCGGCCCGGACCCCCGCAGCACTCTGACTCAGTGACAGTGGCTCATTTGACCCGGAGCCCGGTCCGGTGGAAGGCAGAAGCCAAGCCATCCAGCTAGTATAACCGAACCAGGGAAAGAACCATGGAAGAACCATGGAAGATGATCAAGGTGGCGGGAAGGGAGGAAAGATGGCGGGAAGGGAGGAAAGATGGCGGGAAGCGAACGGTCATGGCCAGGAGAGGAGGATCAGATAGATAGGAAGAAGCACGGAGAGAAATGAGAAGGCTGAAGGTTGAATTAAGGGGGTGAATATCTGAGAGATTGAGGCAAGCGAAACAGAGTGGTACACCTCTGTTTAGCAAAACAGCGAAATAGAGTTGTGCAGAGGAAGTTGTTTGAGAAATGAATCTTGCAAGCAAGATGTGTGAGAGAGCAATGGCATGAAGGAATGTTGTGTATGATGCCATCCTGCTGATGTGGTTTGAACTGCCAGACAGTTGTTCTTATTCGCTGTATTGTTGTCTTAATTCCGCAAGCTGTTGCAAGGCTTTGAGAGGAGAATCTTGTGCTAGCATGCAACTGCAGGGAACTAAACATTCTACATCCACTAGATCTGAACGAGGAACAGAGGATGGTACATGATGTATCACGATGATGACATCTTCCTTCGCCTGTTTGCAGGTTCAAGTGGATTACAACGGTGCTTTCACATAAGGCTGCAGGATGGCGTTAGACGACATTGTTCTCCCTGGATCGAGATCCGGACATCGTCCTGTTCAGGTTGCACCTGATGAGAGCTAAAAATGGCTGTGATGATGATCATGATCATGATCATGATTGATGACGACGACGACGACGATGACTTCGTCGATGATGACTACCACTCGGACCCAGATGGTGGTGGTAGAGATGATGAATACGATGACGATGACGATGATGATGACGATTGTGCTAACCATGATGATGACGACCATCAATGAGATGATGTCAATAAGATGTTATCTGCTGTTGCTGACGAGGAAGCTCCAGCTGATAACGCCTGTTCCTGGCCTTGTGGTGAAGACGAAGGACGTGAAAGGAAAGAAGGTGAGCTTGCTTGTCTCGTGAGAGTCCTGCTGACAATGACACCCGATAGATTTTCATTAACCTCGTGATGCACGACATCGTCAAGATGCCTGTGGACGTGAATATGTGTGAGGTGAATTATTTTCCTCTCTCATGAGCACTCAAGATGTCTTGTATCTGCTCACCAGCCCTCAACATGTATCCTCCTCAATATGTCTTGTGTCTTCTCACCAGCCCTGAACATGTATCCCCTCCATCTCATCAAAGTTTGACATGTTATGATATCATCCTCGTTGTCATGTCATGATTGTAGGTAGCCCGAGAGCACATCGCGGAGCGAGGCCTGTCAAACCTGCGGGTCCCCTTGGACGTCAGCGGTGAGCAACTGCTGTGCTTTCACTTCCAGCCCCCTCCCTGCCTGCGCTCCCACAGTGCAAGCTTGACTGACTTGTGGCAGATCCAAGGGATACGGAAGACAAACGGGGGGACAAGGTGAGGCTGCTGGGGAGTGACAAGGAACTCTTGTGGTGGGTGAACTGCTGCAGGCCACGGCCATCGACGTCATGTTCAACACCTTCCTCCTGGACCGGTGAGCAGAGGCATCGACTGTGTCCTCCACAAGCTGATGGACTTGAGCAGGGCCATGCACGGGCAAGGGGAGATTGAGGTCCCTATTCAAGCTCTGTTGCCTTACTCCTGCTCCTCCTCCTCGTTCATCACCTCCTCGTCCTCCTCCTCCGACCTACTACTACTCGCCTTCCCTCTCATTCCCTCCCTCTCTTGCTATCTTTTGGCTCTCCCCTCCTGCCTCTCGTTCCTTCGTGTGTTTCTCTTTCGTCTTCGCGTTGCTGTGCCTCGCTGTCTGCTCACGTTCCTCTAGGGGGTTCCTACTCGCATCTACTTCCAGCAGGAGCTTGCCTCATTGGCAATCAAGGATGTTGAGGATGTGTTGAAAGTCGGCATTGGTGACCTCCCCATCATCATCCTGATCATCATCTTCCTCATCCTGATCATCATCATCATTATCATTATTATCATCATCTCCATCATCATCATCATCATCATCATCATCATCTCCATCATCTCCATCATCATCATCTCCATCATCATCATCATCATCATCATAATCTCCTGCGCCTGCCCGTCAACTTGTTCCCCCCTTACTTCTCTTCCCATCCTTCTCCACTTCATTTCGTCCTCTTGTTCCTTCCATTTGTGTCTTCTGCATCTGCATACTCCTCCTCCGCCTACTCCTTCTCTCGGGTGATGTTTATTGCAGATAGAAACAATTTCAAGATTTTGAAATGCAACTACAAGGGAGGAGCAAAACCTGAACCGTTCCCTTACGTTGAAGGGGCATGGGATAAACAGCAAGGTGAACACAGTCATGACAAGATGGGGGAGGAGGAGGTGGAGGACAGGTGGTGAAATCCTTTCCGCAGAATCAAGCAAAGCTTCTACTCGGAAGAGAGCGACTGGTGCGAGCGAGGGCTTGACAGGTGAAGGAGGAGGAACAAAAGGCAGAAAACAAGTTCGAGGAGGAGGAGGAGTAGGATGTGCAGCAGCAGCAGCAGCAGCGGCAGCAGCAGCAGCAGCAGCAGGAAGTGGATATGCCAGGAGGGCATAAGAGAAAATGTTTGAGGAGCAGGAGCAGCAGCAATACAGGAGGAGCAGCAGCAGGAGGCGGGAGGAGGAGGAGGAAAACATGCTAGGAGGAGGAGGAGGAAAACATGCTAGGAGGAGGAGAAGGAGGAGGAGGAGGAGGAGAAGGAGGAGGAGGATACCGCAGGGTGACATGCAGTGGTGTAGGGCCCTTGTCTTCGAACCCTCCCCCCATCAAGAAGGTCTGCATGTGACCAGCTGCCCCCCCTGCTGACGAGGAAGTTGCATAGGACGACATAGCGATCAGCGAAGCCATCGATGCTGATGAAATCTGCGCTGTGTCAACCACGCGGAAAAAGCCGTCTAATGTATGACTGTTCGTCTTCCTCCTCCTCCTCCTACTCCTCCTCTTCCTCCTCCTCCTCCTCCTCATCCTCATCCTCATCCTCATCCTCATCCTCATCCTCATCCTCATCCTCATCCTCTTTTACATTTTTCTCTTTGACGTCCTTCTCCTTCACGTACTCCTCTTCTTTCATCTCCTCCTCCTCCTCCTCCTCCTCCTCCGTTTTCCCTTTCTCCTCATTCTGTTCTTCCCCACGATCTCCAACTCCTCATTTCAACTTTTCCTCTTCCTCTCCTCGACCCTCACTGGTCAGCAGGTGGTCAAGAAAGGTTTTCTCATGGGTGATGGAGCTGGAAAGGTGTGTGTATAGGGATGTTACAAATCGACGAGAAAATCTCTTGACTTCTCAAATGTTTGCTTCTTCTCCTTCTCAAATCTTTGCTTCTTCTCCTTCTCAAATCTTTGCTTCTTCTCCTTCTCAAATCTTTGCTTCTTCTCCTTCTCAAATCTTTGCTTCTTCTCCTTCTCAAATCTTTGCTTCTTCTCCTTCTCAAATCTTTGCTTCTTCTCCTTCTCAAATCTTTGCTTCTTCTCCTTCTGCTTCTTGCTACCTCCCTTTCCTCCTCCTTGTGTTCCTCCTCCCCGCCTCCCTCCTGCTCCCGTTCCTTCTCCTCTCTGCTACATCTTCGCCGTTCTGCTCATCCTCCTGACCTCACTCTCTTCTTCTGCTCTTCTCTACCGCACTTCTTGACTCCTCTCCTTCTGGGAGCTCTGAACCATCTCCTGCAGCTGTACAAGAACGATGATGGTACATACGGCAGCAACGAACAGGCTGGAGCGATCGACTCGTCAGAACAGGTGAGGCCGTTTGATGGTAGTGTTTGATGAAAATGATTGATGAAAGCGTGTGCTGAAAATGGTTTTTGATCACTGTTGTTCTAAATCAAGTTAGCAACAAAACGATTGCAAACGATAAGAATGCTCAAGTTGCAAAACGATGATTGCTGTAATGACGATTATTTCAACCACAAACAAGAGGAACGATTGCGATGACGATCAAAACTATCGTGAAGGAATCGCTGACTGACTTGAACCTTCAGATGCGTCAGCAACAACTCGCGCACCTGCCTGAAAGCCTGAGAAAGAAATGTGCGATTGTAGACACGACGAAAATGTCCAAGGTAACGAAAGAGGGAGGGGAGGAAGGATCTGAAACTGCGTCAGGACGAGATTCAGGATGCGATGAGCCAATACGCCAACACCGGTGAGCCTTGACGGAGAGGAGAGCGGAGTCATGGTGTGGGGAGGCGATGTGGACTTTTGAGAGGAGGACGAGGGCGAGGGAGAAGACGAAGACGGGGACTGGGACAGGGACGAGAATGAAGAGAAGGAGGAAGAGGGGGAGGATGGAAGGGTGGAATTAAGTTCCAAGAAGGACGGAGGCAAGGAGGTTGAAGGAGGCGAGGAAGTAGGAGGGAGCAGGGAGAGGAGCTCAAGTGCAGCAGTGGACGTGTTTCACTGTTGGTTTGTCAGGACGAGTCTTGTCTGGTCCAGCCGCTCCAGGAGGCAGCGCACGTAACGACCCGCAATATGAACGAGAGTTTGCAAAGTTATACAAGAAGGTGAGCAGGAGCAGGAGCAGGGAGCAGGGAGCAGGGAGCAGTGAGGAGGAGCTGTTGTTGGTGCTGATGGAGTAATTGTTGATGCAGGCAGAAGCTGAAGCACCTGAACCAACTTTTGCTCTAGGAGGACTGAGGTTTGAACATCGCAATGATGAGGAGGGCGAGGGCGAGGGCGAGGGCGAGGAGGAGGGCGAGGAGGAGGAAGAATGATCGCGAGAGGGGCATGGGCCGGGCCAGGGGCAGCAGATGTCAAATCCTTGTTCGAACATATTTTCATGTGGGTGAACAAACGATCTGCTCTGATCTTTCCCGCAGGTCAAGTGGAAAAAGTCGAATCAAGGTCGAACGAAGTTCTACTGTTCACTTCTGCCCCTGCCGCTCCTTGACTTCGCACCCTCCTCGTTCTCCCCCAACCCTACTACCTGCCCCTTCACTTTCCTCTTTTCCTTCTCTTTCTCCTCCTGCGCTTCATCATGGCCACACTTACCATCACCGTCGACATCTCCATCATCATTGACAAATAGCATTATCATCATCATCATCATCATCACTCATCATCATCATCACCACCACCATCACCATCGTCATCATCACTCATCATCATCACCACCATCACCACCATCATCATCACCATCACCGCCACCACCATTACCACCATCACTTCCCTCACGAGCACTCCAGGAGCTTCAACACAAGTGTTCGCCCATCCATGAGGAGGAGCAACTGACTGGGTTCGCCCTCTCAGTGTCTCTACCGGACGGCGTCTCAAGTAACTACAGAGTTTGACATCTCCGACTCGCTGACCTTCCTCGCCAGCCATCGAAGATGTAGACGTCGAGGTCTCAGCGTTCAAGGTTCTTCAACTCCTCTGCTCCTTCCCGTCCTCTTCCTCTGTCCCCCTTCCGCCTTTCTTCTCTTCCCATCCTCAGTCTCCGTTTCTCCTGCTCCTGACCCTCTCGTCTCTCCCTCCCTCCTCCTTTCGGACAGGTTGAGATCAAGACCCGCGATGGTTCGCATGCTCTCAACCTAGCATGGCCATCTCCTGTAGATCCAGACGCGGTGAGGAGGGGGGAGGTGGGAGGGGGAAGGCAGGGGCGAGGAAAGGAGGGGGGGAGAGAAGGAAGGGAAGCAATCGACCTCACGCGCGTACAGGTCTCAGCGAAGATGAAGAAGAAGACAAAGGAGGTAAGTCGAGGATGGAGGGAGACAGGGAGGAGGAGGAGGGAGGAGGAGGAGGGAAAGGGAGGAATAATATTGACAATGCAACAGTTGAAACTCGTCGTTCCTGTTGCGGTCGAATGAAGGCGAGGCTTCAAAATAAACCCAATCTTACAACTTCAAATCAATATGATACAATTTAACAACTATCACACCACCATCACTCGCTTCCCTCCTGTTCGCACATGTAAGAAGAGCAAAGACCAACACTGATCTGCAAACCGTCCGGCGTCTGAGTCGATCGGATGATATTGCATTGCTGCGTCGCCCCCGTCAGCCGCTCAAGGACTCTGATTGCAGTCTCACCATGGTCGAAGGAGGCTCGATCAAAGTCGGCTTCCACGCAACTGCAATCCAGTCAGGTGGACGATAGCAGGACAGGACGGGATAGCAGCGGCGGGAGCATCAGAAGAAGCAGGAGCAGAAGCAGTACGTCAACAAAGTTGAGAGGAATGCGCAAGGAAGGTTGAGAGTGACAGATAGTCGAGAAGAAGAAGGATCAGCAGAAGATCGATGATGACGATGTGTGCGTCCCCATACCATAGTTCGGCATCACTCCTTTCGTCTCGGTCCAGAACTTTCGTGACTACGTCATCGTCAATTCATTGTTATTATCATCACCACCACAATTATCATAATGTCCATTATCATCATCATGATCATCACAACCACAACACAACCACCATGATCGTTGTCGTCGTCGTCGTCATCATCATCAGCATCAGCATCGTCGTCATCGTCGTCGTCGTCATCATCATCATCAGGAGCAGCAGCAGCAGCATTGACATCATGTACAGTTGCAAGCAGACAACAAGCACCTCGATTGCGTCTGACGAGATGTGAGGGCTGACAATATCAGCGCCAACTTCAATCTTCGACTCAACAAGTGACAGCCTCTTGTTCAACGACCCGTTGGCCAAAATCTACAGACCCATATCAGAATGTCTTGTGTCTTCAAGTAAATCGCCTCAGTACTCCATTTCTCACCCCTTTCAAATCTTGATCGTTCCCTGCCAGTCTTGCTTCTTCCCACTGCCTTCGAAGAGCCTTGGAGCAGATCAGCAGAGTTGTCAATCTTTGAAATCAATCACAGCAAGGTCGTCTTCTTCGCTGTCTTCTCTCCTCCTATCCCAACTGGGTGGCATCTGGAAATTTGAGCCTGATAAAGAAAAATGAGCAAGGGGGAGACGAGGAGGAGACAAGAACAGGACAACGTCAAAAGCTAGGGGAAATGGGAAAGGCAGGGGAATGAGGACGGAAAGTGGAAAGGGAGGAAGCAGGAGGGGGTAGGGGAAGGGGAGGGAGAGGAGAGCACTGGAGGCTCTAGTCTAGAGCCACGACTCACCCGTGCATGCTGAGAGTGTATCCGAAGTCGCATCGCTCTCATCGTCATCGTAGAGGTCTGATGTCTTGGTTGCTAAGGCGTCTGCCCTGTTGGTTCGCAGCTTGAAGGCTGCAGCAACAACCCCCCTTGTAAGCACCCTGCCGTTCTCCCACATGGTCGACAAACCGTCTCGTGAAACAGCATGTATCTGCTTCCAGTGCGAACTTTTCTGTTCTGTAAGGGGATGAAGTCAGAGACGCAGCTACATGCGCTGGACTGAACAACCTCGTGCTGATTTCTTCACGCTGCATGCTTGTACGTCGAACTGCAGTTTTAAGTCAAAAAATGCACCTGTAGGGAGAACGACATCCTGCCCAACTTTTTATGTCTCATCCTCCAACTTCTCGCTAGCGCATCTGACCTTCACAATCTAATTCATCAGACCTATCAGCTCCATACAAACTCCCTTGGTTGAAATCTGACTGAATTTTCTATGCTCGTTTCACCTACAAAACGCACGACTTCTGGTATCCGCCCTTTCCTCCCTCCCCTCCCCATCCCCGCCAGCCACATCTCAATCGCTAGCATGTTTTCGAACTTCTGTCATCATCAATCTTTGTAAACCATCGTTTTACCCATTTTCGACTCACCCAATATTCAATACCGTAATTGCTCAGTCATGCCCTACTCCCTCATTCGACCTGCTCCTTCTCTCCCCTTTTCCTTCCCCCTCCTTCTCTCCCATCTCTCTCCTCCCCTCTTCCAATATCTTCCATCCTCTCCTCCCCTCTCCTCCCCTCTGTCTCACCTCCTCCACACAGGCGCCGCTCAAGCATATCCTGGACTCTTCTGCTCCCATTGTTGTTACCTTGACCGGATCACCCGAACCAAGAGTTGGCGATATCATTTGTCGACCACCCCAGTACCAAACAGGGCCATTAGGTCCGACTCAAGGTGAAATCATTCCCAGACGGGTTATTTTGACTATCTACAAGGGGGTATATTTGGATTTGGGGTGGCTTCGAGTTCCACATGGGGGTACTACTGCTTTGGCAGCACTTGCCAACCGGGATTGGGAGGGTTCGGCTGAAGGACCCCTTCCGAAGCGGAGGGTACTAGATATGACGGAAGGGTACAAAGTTGGTGTGGGTCAGGGTATTTGAGAAAGGAGGGGTACTCTGAGGCTATTTTGATAGGGTGAAAGGGGTAGTTATCGGACTACGGGTCGCCGTCGGACTCGGGAGGAACTAGGGGAGAGCAGTGGAAATAAGGGGGTGGGGTCATTGATAGGGAGTCAAGGGGGTTCGATATCGGAAAAAGGAGGGGGTGGTCAATTATATCGAAGGTGCTAAAAAAAGGAGGCAAGCCATTTGTTTTTAGTTTTTTTTCTAGTGGGTACTTTTTGTTTCTTTTACAGTCACTGCCGTACCCGGGCGTCCGAGTCACCGGCCCGCGGTCCCGCCTGGCTGAGGCGAGCCTCCCAGTACACGGTCCCGGCCCGGGACTCTCGGAGGCTCAGTCCCACGCCGGTCCGGTCCGCCGCGGTTATGCCCGGACCACGGGCAGCCGTGCCGCGTCGGGCCCCGGGCGTCGTCGGGGGCGAGTCGTGGGCAGACTCGGGCCGTGCCCGGGCCAGTGGACTCGGCCTGCCGGAGGCTGCGGCGGCCCAGCGCCCTGCCGCCGCTGTCACGGTCGGGCCGTACTCGTAGTAGCGGCCGCCCGGCCGCGGGGCCGCCCGGCCCGGCGCCGCCCGGCCCGGCGCCGCGGGGGCCCGGTACCGTCGTAGTAGTAGTGCGGCTAGTCACGGGCCGGCGGTACCGGCGGTGACCGTACCGTACTGAGTCACCGTGGTACCGTCACGGTAGTACACGGGGGGGGAGCCCGCAGCCGCTGAGCGGCAGTCACGGCGATTGTCATGCCATGATGATCACCGTGCCCCAGTGTAACTGACCGTCGTGCCGGGGGCCGGCGCGCGGCGCGGCGCCGCGGCGGCTAGTACGGTACGCCGGGCGCCGCCGGGCCCGGGGGCGGCCGCCCGGCTCTCACCGTGCGGCAAGATTACTAGTTACCCACTGTCGCCCGTTGTGGTGTAACGGCTGATAAAAAAAGGACGTAAAATTAGGAGAGGGCGCATGTCCCCTGCTTGGGAAAAAGGTTTTAACGTATGTTGATCCCAACTTGAGTCGGCGGCTAAATTGAAATATTTCACTGAAAAGTCTGTATTTTCACGAAATATACAAAAAGATGTTTATATTTCAAGGCTATTTTCAAGTATAGTAGAATCAAAAATCGCCAACTCTCTTGGAAATATGGGATATTTTAGATATTGTAAACGAAAAGGACGTGGTATCACACTTATATGTTTAATAACTAAATAACAAATTTCATACTGTTTTTGTCTTTATAATAGGAGGCTGGGATCCCTTGGTACTTATGTAGTACCACAAATATTGCTACTGTCAGTTTTAGTGATGGGGGTATAGAGACGCTTTGAATTTTTTTGTGTATATATATTTGTAGATTGTACCTTGTTCTTACTTATGTGCAATCTCATCCCCTTGTATAAATATTTTATTTTATCGTGGTAGAAAATGGTATCAAAAGTATAAAACTCCTTTAGTACCTTTCACCCCCTCCTAATCTATCCTTCGAACCCCCCCCTAAATACTCCTCAAGCCTACGCCTTCCAGTACCCCTCACCCACAACTCTCTCTTGGATCTTATATCAATGTTCCATAGCCTTGATAGTCTGACTTTTACTGAATGGCTCACTAATCAAAATCTATCTACCTCTTACCTTGCGCCTCTCTGCTTTAAACGAACCCCAGCGCGTACCTTGCCCCACCCCCATTGCTCGACCTATACCCACAGTTCACTACCCCCCCTTCGGTGTGCGATGCAGTCGAACAGCTGATTATGGTGCGGCTGTGGGAAAATGTGAAGAGGTAGCGCTGTGGCAAGATGAATATTAGCACAAGAAGAGGCTGTATCAGGATAGGTCATCACCATGAACAAAGTTCAGATCATTCTTTCGAGAATTTGTTGACCTGCTCCTTGAAGATGACCTTGTACACTGAAGCTTGATGTTACGCATATAGACCATGAGCAGTGGATCATTTCGAGTCGAATAGTCGATGTATGACCTTAGATGCTAACTTTTAGCCCCAAAGAGACTGTTTCCTCCATTTTACTCTAATTGGACTATTGTCAATCCGTCATTGCGAGGAAGGCAGGGGTTACTCCAAGTTGAGAAACTAAGGCCAGTTAGCACGAATTATCTGTCTTCCTAAGTTTCCTGTTTGTCATGACTGAATTATATCTTCTTCCAGGTGTTTAGGGGAACTTGACGTTTTGTATGAACTTGTCCCCAGTCCCTTGAACTCGCTTGGTTCAATCACTGCTCGAGAAGCCTGGGCAAACAAGGGTCGCACTCAGCATTCGTTACTGGCATGTCTACTTTTGCTTCTCATGGTCGTGGCGTTCTGCGCAAATCTGTTAGCTCGCCTGCTGCAGCTGCAGTGGTGTGCGAGGTGCACAAGATCGTGGACCAGGTTGATAACCGTGTTGCACAACAGCACAAGCAGCGCCCAGCCTCGCCCTACAAGTATCCCCTGGACTCATGTAAGTCCAAGAGCGACTCAGCTGAGGTGTCTCCTCGTCAGTATGTCAAGACCTACATGCTGCATGACGACATGATGATGGATGCGCGTTCCATGGACAATCACTCTGAGCCATTCGAAGGACCCAAATTGCATCATGTTGGCGCCAACGCAAACCGCGTTCCTGTTCCGGACGGTCCAGTGTACAGTGCGTTTCAATTTGAGGTCACGTCTATCCGGGATGAAGGGACTGGGGCTCGCAGCGTCTCTCCTGTCAGTGTGTCAGACAGAGAGCCGTCAGGTATCATGCCAGCTTCCGGCGAGCCTGTTAGGATGGCAGGAGCAGACATGTCGAGGAGTGAGAAAGAAGATGGCGCTAAAATGGACGATTTGAAGAATTCCAATCACTTGCTTCGCCGAGCCCTTGCAGCCGTTCAGGTGAAATCAGTTTGTGTTCTTGGGAGGAAGAGTGTCTGACTGCCTAACAGCATCGTTTGCAAACTGTGGAGTCGGAAAGGGATCAGCTGAGGCGAGAAAGAGATTATTTCCGCAATATGGCTCTTCGCTTCCCTTTCTCCTTTAATGTCCACAATGCAGGGGAAAGCCGCAAACAGTTTGCCGACCCCTGATCGCCTCCGTTCGTCGGGTTATATTTCATGTACTGCCACTATGTATTATACCACTTTAGTATCCTGAGAGTGAAATATTATTGAAAAATTTCTCTGCGTTGTGTGCAGCTCACAAGGAAGAAACCAGCCACCAAAATTTTAATCTTCCCTCTCTCACTTTGAAGTCAGAAAGTCGTAGGCAAGCTGCATCAATCAGGTCAGCACAGAAAACAGTGCCACAAGACTTGACCTTTCCCGTCAAAAGTGTCAAAGGCATGTCAGCCAGGAAAGAAATAATTCCTTTTCGCGACATATCACACAACAGTCTTTCGCGATTCTCCGCACGTTACCTCCTTTGAATCGCTCATTGGGGTCGCCGGTGGAGTATCCATAACCATAAACGAACCTCCCAATCACCTTGGCACCTTTGTCAGAGGTCTAGAGGAAGATAAGGCATCTTTTCTTACCCATAGGGCTCCCAAGAATGCAGAGGCAATAGGATACTGAACACCACACAGCAACATTCTGATCATCACGAATGCGAACGTCTCAAGTGTGTTCTGAAAACAAGTCAATCTCAGCCCGGAAAACTGCGAGCGATCGCTTACTTGGTGTGCTCTCTGAATGCAGTTGAAGGCAACTTCATGCTTGTGGCCAGGAGGAGCATACAGAGCAGGGTATTTGATGCCATACCTGTCATTCAATAATTATCAAGTAGCGCGCCTATAAAATGAGTATATACTTCTTTCGAGCAGAGACAACATTCATGGTGAGGTACATGTTGAGAATGAATCCCAACACAACGACAATGCAGACATATCTGCATTCTGGACGTCATGATGATATCAAAGGGACAGTTCATGTCATTTTACCCATACTCCCTTGGCAGAACTTCAAGGATTTTGCTCGCTGGCATAATTGCTCCTGTTGCAAAGAATATATCAACAGAGGGATTAAGCTTGTTGTCGTGATCATTGTCATCTTTTCCATCGTACAAATTGATGGATTCAAAAGCAAGGAAGGCCGTCCATATGTTGCCTTCATTCCATCATTTCTAATTCAATTCAAGCGCGCAGTAAAGCAAGCATTCTGGCATTACATTTCAATTAATGTCTCTTATCTCTCATTCTAAACTTCCTGACCTATACACCATTGTTTTTGACAGTATCTGAATATGTCTTTCAGTCCCCTCCCACACCTCCCTCGGTCTTGACACGACTTGAATTGGCTGTTCGTTTCCTCGTCGCATCCCACTTCCCTTGTCATAGATCTACCCAATCAGATCGTGTCATTGCATCCTCGCACATTCTGCTTGACTTTAATCTTGTCCTCTGCGTCTGGCCCTGATTCAAGAGTCCCTCCTACCGCGTCTTTGGAGGTGCAGTCTTCTCACAATTCTCTTCTCCTCTTCCTCCTGTCGCGTTCATTGATCTTCTCCTGCCGCACCTACCTCTTCAACTTGCTCTGCTCCACTTCTCCCATCCTCCATCGACGTTTGTCTTCCTCTTTTATCGATTTTCGTCATCCTCTGCCAAGCTAACATACGCCATTCATCCAAATACCACCCCTCCATTTGGCTTTACTGCATTTTGTTGACCCCGACTGATACTACCCCTACCCCCTCCTTCTCCCTCCACCACCCACCACACCATTGTAATCAAACTCTTTCACCCACCAAGCGCCTCATCCGCTATTGTACCCCTCCTAATCATAGTAAAGTACCCACCCCATGGATCCGACGATTTTCCAGAGGGCCCTCATCTGTGATGAGCCTCATACAGCCCGCACGATTGCCGGCTCCAGTTTCACTGTTTCACCATGTTTGACAAAGTATCAAAATATCCTTGAATTATCTTTTACAATTTCAAATATTATTGTTCAATATTTCAACCTTATCTTGAAAGCCCGAGGACAAGTTGAGGGGTATTGTTTACCGGTACTTCCGATCAAAGGACCGAATTGTATCGAGGGGTGGGTATAGTCGTGGAAGGGGTGTAATAGGATACCCATAGTGTTAACATGACCATTTGTGGAAATAACCGGTGGAACATAAAGGAAACAGGGGCATTTTCAATATGGTGGGTCCCAAATGGAGGGGTAGATAATCAACAAAGTTTCCCCGTAAGGGGGTAGGGGTTAACACATGGGGGGTACCGTATGGATGTTGTCCTGTAGGGATGGCAGCGAAGGATCGCCGAGACAGTCGATGGCTGGGTTGGAAGATGCCGGAAATGGAGGGAGGGGAGGAGGGGAATATGCGAAATAACGACGAAGAGGAGATGATGAGAACATGTGGAAGTGGAGAGCAAGGAGGTGGTGTGCGAGAGGAACAGCAGGAGCAGAGGCGAGTAGAACGGGTTGGCAGTGAAAAGCATCGTCCATAGAGAGTTGTGCAAGGACGATGAGGAGGAAACATCAATTGCTGGGATGAGAAGGGGTGGAAAGCGGGGATGGAAAGGAGGAAGAGGAAGGAGATAGGGTGTAAGGCATTTGAATCCCCCCTGGTCGTCTTGACGAAGGGGTAACATGACCCTTAGTGCCAGTTTTAGATTGAGCTGAAGAGTTGCAAGCTGCATGGCCTATGAAGCAAAGTTTTCCAGTACGGCTACCGGGAATGTTGCATAGCTCAAGGTGGGGTGAAAATGTTAGCCTACGTGGTTATGACCCATGGTTCAACATCGTGGCCAGCGGGTTTTGTCATCGTTTCTTTGAACTGATTGAAAAATTATCATGATTTTGTCTTCAGAGGGATGGTTATTGATGTGAATCCTTGTAGATTCGAGTTTCTGAGACGTCCGCTCTTGTTGTAGTGTCTTGTTGGAGATACAAGGAACTCTGTGGGATCCCCTGAGAATAATCAGTCTCGATGATCACTGAATACAAGGCTCAAGTGATAAATCTGCAGAGATAAAGGATTTTCTGAGTGTTCATCTCTGACTCCTCTGACTGCCAGCATCGAACATGGGTTGCTGCGAATCCTCCAACAGGAGGAAAATCGACGAAGCGCTCAATCCTATCATGGGGACGGTCGGTAGCAGATGCTGTTGTTGCTGTCTGCTCACAGTGGCGCACAGGCTGGTCAAGATCAGCTTGTCCCTCTGATGAGCGAAGCAGCGTTCAAGGGTGACATCTCCACCATGGAGCGACTTGTAGCGAAGGGAGCGCTGGTAAACCAGCACGATCAGGTCTTCCTCCTCCAAGGATTTTATGCGTGCCTGGCTTACTTTGTTCCACCCAGTACGATCGAACGCCCCTGCATTTCGCAGCTTTCAATGGCCATGTCGACGCTGTCAAGTGGCTGATCAATAAGGTGTTGTTCTAAGATGTTATGTGCGTGCCTGGATTTGACGCATCTTGCAACCCTTGTAGAGAGCCGACGTCAATGTGAGAATTCTCCCAGAAGTATCTCCCTCCATCTCATGGAACCTGTTTTGACTTAGGTCGCTGGAATGGTGAATGGGTTCACTCCCTTGTTTGCTGCTTGTGAGAACAACGATCTGGACGTAGCTAAAGTGTTGGTATGACACGTTAGTTCCGCAAGGAGCCACCAGCCTGATTCTTCTTCAGGTAGAAGCTGGGGCAGACACCAATGCCAAGTCCAGGGACGGACGAACACCGATTCAGCATGCTCTCCATCACAACAGGTTCTGTCCGTTGCTCGCTTCTGAACTCGTTTGATGTTGCAAGCAGGACATACGTCGCCGACTACCTTTACCAAGTGATTGATCCCACTGGTCTATCGATCCCTCCTCTGACTCGAGCCGTACAGGTGCAACAGTCTCGATCCCCCTCCAAGAGCTCGGGGGGCTACAGCAACGGAAACGCCTACCCTCAACAAATCGTCTGATCTTGCTCCCACATCTTCTTACCCTCTCATCCTCGTGCTGTTGTACTATACTTTCCAAAGAGATCTGGTGGAGAAGAACTCAGCCCTGGTTTCTCTCCCCAAAGATGCAAAGGTCATGCCAGTTGGACTCAGACGGTGAACTATTGAAATCTGACGAGCCGCTTTGAACTGAACAGTGCGAACTATATCTTTCTTTACATTTCTTGTGAATAAATTGAAGATAATTAGTATGCTTGTGGTACACTAGTATGTATTACAAACATGGAGCCGAATGTCAACGTGATGTTATTGAATTGAGAAACGAAATCAGAAAATTCATGCTGTTACAAATGAGACTTTCATGAAACTGATCCATCTTGCATAACATTCCGATTCAGATTCCTGAATTAAATACTTTGATGTTGATACAGATATCTCAGAGTTGAGAAGGATGATATATAAGTTTGAAGATGGATATTTGACGTGTCAAACGAATACAGCCATCTGAAAAGTTTAATGGGGAGCTTAATTGGGGTGACAAGAATCGTCATGTGTAATGATGATATAAATTTTGAAACTTTCAAACAGCGTCACACTCTTTCGATGAAATTCAATGCCTCTTGAAACCCTACACCACTCAATAACTGAATAGAAAGGATTTTGTCTTTGATGTAAAAGTTTTCGTCTCGTTTTATAGCTCCAAGATCAACGGTTTGCCATACATGAGAGTTGCAGTGCTTGCTTACATCTTCAACCACGCTCAACCCAAAATCTATGAAAACCAAGCTGGAGAAATCTGGTTTATTGTTTTTGTTTAGACGAAACACAACGTTTTTTGCCTTCAAGTCAACATGTGTGACATGTTTTTGCACTGAGGATAAACAAAATCGCGAACACTGCTCTATCCAAGTGCGCCTAAAAACTTTAAGCATGTGCCTGCAATTCTCTTGGCAAAGAACATTCGATCCATCAAAACATTCTGATGTACATTCATGTGTATATGTTGGGGAACACCTTTCCAATATCTTTTCCAGAGTGATTGGGAAGCATGCTTCAAGAATGATACATCTCTTTTCCCTGTTGTACCCATACATCTTCACAACCTGCGGATTGTCTGCGAAGAGTTGAAGGATGCTCAACTCTCTCTCGAACATCTCCTTGACATCATATGGATTGCCATTATCGTCCACCGCAATATCATTGAATGTCTTGATCGCCATGTTGCAGATAACAACCTCACCTTGCATGCCGCCATGCGTTTCGGCCATCCTTGTATCCTCCATTTTTCCTCTTCAAAATTTTTCATAGATGCAAACAATCCGCCTCAATAAAATATGGAGGGCAGCAAATGACATCTATTCAAATAATCTTCCTGCCCTTGGTGTCAAGGTGGTCACGCGATGCAGGCAGCAAGGAGGGAGGGGGGAGGAGGAGCTGAGAAACAGATGGAAGGAGGGAGAGAGGAGCGCGCAAGGAGGTTGTGAACAAGGATGAATGTTTGTCTGGCATGGTGGAAATGTGAAGCTCAGCCGAAATGGGTTTGGGTAACAATGCGCGAACGGCTGTGAAAGCATGAGAAGAAGGGAAAACACGTGAGATAGTATGAGAACTTGATTACCATGGGAGAGGGACATGGTGGAGAGTGAGAACTTGTATGTAGAAGGAAGGGAAGGAGCTTGGAAAGACGCTCTAGACCCATTTTGCCATCATGACATGCTAACTTGAAACTTGCAGCAATTTCTGGCACTCTCAGCGGGGGAGGGCTGTAGAGGGAGCTCTACGTGATCCGCCTGGCAGCTGCACCGGCTGCATTTCTAGTGTTGTAAAGAGATGAAAGCAAGGACTGTCGTCGTCGTGTCCATCCTAGCAGGGATGGCCAGCGTGTTCAGCGTTTGGACGGAGTGGCGTACCAAGGCGATCAAGCTAGGAAGCCCGAACACTGATCTCCGAGTCATCTTTTCTCTTCAGTTCTGGGAGATTCTTCTCGACTCCTATCCTCATAAGCTAATCATGTTGAACTTCGGCTGCAACCTTCTCTATCTCGTCGGCAAGGTTTTACAGCTCCTGCTCCTGGGGCAGCTGAGGGAGCTGGAGGCCGCGAAGATCAGCGATCGCGTCAGGACATACGTCCTCGTCAAGTTCATCTTCATGGGAGCTATCCTGCAAGACCACGACGAGAAGGAGATGATGGTGTGGTTTGTGTGGCTGGCCCTGGTGGGTTTCTTGAAGCAGCTCGGGCTATTGGCGAGGGACCGTCTTGAGTTCATGATGTTGTCGGTACAGACGAAGAGCGTCGACTATGCTCGTCTCGGGCTGCTCATCGCCTTTGTTCTCACCTGCGACGCTGTTCTCATGCGCTGCTGCCTCATGATCTTCGGCTGCTGGCCGTCCAAGTGCGAGGCCGGAGGGTTCGGGGTCACGCTGCTGCTGCTTTTCGAGTGCGTCCTCATTATCGTCGACAGCGCGCAGACGATCATAAGATTCTGCATCCACATGATCAACTTGTCACGCGATGGGCACTGGGAGCAGCGGAGCCTCTACTCCTTCTACACGGAGGCTGCAGCGGAACTCATCAACAACTTTCTGAGCCTGTTTCATTACGGTCATGTCTGGATGATCCATGGCATGTCAGTCACGTTCACAGACGCGATGCTGTTTCTCCTGACGCGGAGCATCGTGAACAGCATCCGATCAAAGTTCTCTTCCCTCTCAGCGTTCCTCAACATTGACAAGCGCTTCCATGACGCCACTTCGGAGGAGTTGGCGCAGGTCGACGACAAGTGTTCTATCTGCTGGGAGACGATGTCAAAGGCCAAGGTTCTGCCGTGCGGGCATGCTTTCCACCTGGTCTGTCTCAGGTGCTGAGCTGCTCCTCCGATCCTCTCCCAGCCTCCCACTCATGGTTCTGCAGGGGCTGGATCGAGCATTCAGCAACATGTCCAAATTGCAGGCGATCCATCTCGGGTGACAGCTCGGCAGAAGAACGACAGAACAATATGCAGGATGGAAGGGCAGAAGATGGTAACAATGCTGGACTGCAGGAAGAGGGATTCAGGTTCATCCCTGCCTCCCTCTCTCCTTCCATCCATCCATCCATCTCCCTCCCTCCCTCCCTCCCTCCCTCCCTCCCTCCCTCCCTCCCTCCCTCCCTCCCTCCCTCCCTCCCTCCCTCCCTCCCTCCCCATGTTTGTTCCTTCTCTCCCCTTCTCTCTCGCTTCCAACTTCCCGGGGGTCTCACGCTGCAGCAGAAACGGCGGTGCGAACCTTCCGGGGCAGAGAAGGCGGTGGAGCATTTTGAGATGGTGAGGCCGAGGAGGCTTGCCGGTTGTTTGATCCCAACGCTGCAGGTTGTCGATGAATGAGAATGGCAGACAAGGAGGAAATCAGCGGAGAGGTTTCCTCCCCTTTCTGAGAGATGTCTCTCTGCAGGCAGATGAAATCCCGCAGGTATTGTTTTGTTCACGCTCGAGAGTTTTCATGAGGATGATGCTTGCTGCGGCAGGAAATCGTGCAGTCTGTCCTTAACGTCATGCCGAATCTGTCGCCCAGGGCGGTGAGCAATGATTTGATGATCATGATTTATCATGAATCATGATTACGAGGATAGAGTCCATGGTGGTGGTGGTGGTGGTGGTGGTGGTGGTGGTGGTGGTGGTGGATGATAGTGGAGAAAAGGATCGTGTGGTGGAGGAGGAGAGGATGGTGGTGGTGGTGATGAGGATGATGATGATGATGATCACGATGATTTTGATCACGATCACGATCAGGATCACGATGATCATGATAGAAATATCTTGGCTCTGATCGGCCAACCCCCAGGTTCGACAGGATCTCATCAGAACCATGGACGTTCAAGTCACTGTCAACAGGTTTGACCATCCTCCCAACTCTCTTCCCTTCTTACTCCTTTCCCCTTAAAGGGGCCTTGAAGGCCTGATCGCCGAGGCGAGCTCGCCCATGCCACCCCCCAGCCAGCAGAGGGTAAGCAGCAAGCTCTTGTGCTCCTGCTCCTCTGCTCACCAGTTGCTCCTCCAGCCTCGCCCACCGCAGGAAGCGGACGGGGAGCGTGACGCTGGTCCCCAGCGAAGTGAGGATGAAATCTCGCAAGAAGAAGACTTGCGGAGGCAAGGGAGTGAGAGTCAAGGGAGGGACGTCCGTGCGGCAGCAGCAGCGGCAGCAGCAGCGGCAGAAGCGGCAGCCGACGATGGAGCCAACCAGAGGTCGGAAGAGGGAGAAACAGCAGGCGAAGGTTGATTTTCTCGATTGAGGAGTCAGGGTTGACGACCCCGCAGAAATCTCGGAGGAGACGACTTGCGCGGCAGAGGGAGGAGAGATGGTACAGCGCAGAATGCTTCTCGCTCAGGCGGTTCGTTGCATGGAGTTGGGAGGGGCATGTCTGACTTGTGACGCCTCAGGCTATGAGAAGAGCCGCACCAAAGGAGCACCAGGAGTGACTCGGATCAACTTCTTCTTCTCTTGTAACATACTCGACTCATGCTTTCATATCCTTCCCTGCGGCTCACTGAAGGCTCTCTCAACACCCAACACGCTCACCCTCACCCCGCAACAGTGCCCAGCCAGCCTGCTGACAGTGTGGCGTCTGGCGGGGGACCTTCATTGTCATGGCACAAACAGACTCAGTGCCGCAAGGTTGCCACTGTCCGGGCGATTCAAGTCGCCACGGCCGCGCCGCACTGAGCCCGCCCGGCACCGCCGGGCCCGGCGCACTCGGAAGGGGACTCAGTGAACGGTCAGTACCGAAGTCTTTTACTCAAAGTTAAGTCAGAGTGACGCACCTCACACCGTTGGGCTGTAGACTGATTATTTTACTCAAATATGCTAATCTTCACGTGCGAATGCTGCTAACGAAAGCGAGGGAGCGAAATATGGCGAGGGACGAGAAGGAGGGAGGGAGGGAAGATGAGAGGGAGGGAGGCATGGAGTGGGCAGAGATGGGCGAAGGAGCAAAGGGAGGAGCAAAGGGAGGAGCGAGCAAGTGGGAGGGAGAGGGCAGGCAATTCGCACACGTAACGTTACATGCACATGGCATCTCGTGGCTAAAGCAACACCAATGATGATCGATGACATTCGATTGAGCAGGTAGACTGAAGGAGGTTCTTGTCATCTTTCATCAAAGATGCAGAGCACGACTTCCATCGATCTGCAGCTGGTCAGTGTGTTGGTGTACTTTGATTCTGTTCCTGACATGCCGCTGACAGTTCTGGCAACTTTCTTCCAACAATGAGAGCGAAAGAACGAGCTCGTCATTTGTTCTGTGTAAAGATTTGATCAAATGTCAGAAAGACTTTACCGCAGCGAACAAGACAGGCCAGAAGGGCAAGCTGGAAGAGATGATGTGCAGCGATCTGAGCTACACTGTGAAGCGACTTTTGCGGGGCATGGCTTCGTCAAGAGACGGGTCGAGACACGGGTTCTCCATGACGTTCAGTGTGCTGTTGAAGGCGTTCAGCTTCATTGATGGTAACGAGATTTTTGACATGATGTTGGACCTGCTGAAGGTCAAGGGCGTGACCAGTCAAGAGGAGAAGGAGTCGAACTTTGGTAGGCTCTTCGGATGTTTTGCTATCATCAGGTCAAGGTTTGCTGGGCAGAAGGTGGAGATTGATGGGGAGGCGTTGGAGGACTCCCTTTTCTGGAAGTTGATGAGCGAGTTGAGGAGACTGTCTAAGACGAAGTTCTACATGGAAGAGAGCTGTACATCAGCGATGCTCACGCTCATGTCGTCGGTGAAGGGTGACGCTTTTCAGAAGCATGTGGCTGGCAGGATGCGGGAGTGGCTCAAGGAGGTGGAGGTGGAGGAGATGACACCCAGTGATCTCGAGCTGCACCTTGCGATCGAGTGGTACGGCAAGTCTGACAGGAAGAAGCTGCTGAGCTCGGACATGGTCAGCAAGATGTGCGAGCCGCTCAAGAACAGCGCTACGTCCCATCCTCGCGTCCATGGCGTCTGGTTGCTGATCTTTGAGATGCTGGGGCTACAGACCGGCCGGAACGTGTTTGGGGAGACTGTAGGAAGGAAGGACAGTGAGGAGATCGAGCAGAGCAGCCGGCAGGCGCTGGAGAGGCTGTGGCAGACAGTGGTCGATGAAGGCTTGATGCTGTCGGGGCACGAGAGGAGGTTCTTGGGGCTGTCGTTGTGTGAGATGCTGGTGAAGGAGCTGCCCAGCAAGGAGTCGAAGATCGTCCTGTCGCCCAACGTGATGAGCTGCCTCGTCAACAACGCGGGGAGGAAGGGAACGCTGCTGAGAGACGTGTCGCTCAAGCTTGTTAACGCCATCATAGCGCGAGCCAAGACCAGCCCAGTCTTCTCCGAGAGCCTCCTGCAGGTTTTCGTCGCCCGCCATCGTGATTTTGACAAGATGACCAAGACGAGGACGATGGGGACGCTGGTGGAGAACTTGGACGCCAACAGCGCCATGGGTCACCTGCATCGTCTGCTCTCCATCTTCATGGACAAGACTGGTGAGTCGCAAGCCAACGAGCGAGGTTCCCCCAAGATATGGGCGCTTGACAACATCCTCTCCCTCATCTCCCGGTCCTCCGACAAGTTCCCTCAGCCCGTCTTGCAGTACCTCCTCCTCTGGACCATGACCATGGCCTTCTTCACGCGTGAAGACGCCAAGGGCAAGCAGAAGATCGCGGATGCTCCTGCCTGTGACTTCGTCAAGTCAAAGTTTCTCAGCTTCGTTGAAGAACTTTCGCACCATCGGCAAGCTGACAAGGACGAGGCCATGGAGGTGGAAACGAGCGGAGGAGTCGAAAAGATCTCCAAACTCCTCAAGACTGACCTTCAGCCAGTGCTAGGTCGCTATCGTTCCTCCATCTTCCTGTCTTATTCTCCTTTCCTCTCCTCTTCTTCCCTGTTCCTCCTCTCTCTTCTTTCCTCCCCTCTCTTCTCTCACTCCTCCTCTTCTCACTCCTCTCACTCTTTCATTCTCAACTTCACCCTCACCCACTCCCTCAACATCCTTCACTTCTCCTCCGTTCTTTCTCCCTCCCTTCTCCTCCTCTTACTTCATGTCATAGATGTCGTCAACAAAGACGATCTGGTCGGAAAGGCACTTTCTCTCCTCTCCTCCCGTACATCGCTGACTAGCAGCAGGACGGCAAGCTCAAGCACGCCAAAGTTTTCTGGCTGCTGCAGGCCAACCTGATGTAAAGTTGACCGTCTGAGCTGCAGCGACTGACATGTCCAGCAGGGCCGACGCGCTCGAGAAGGAATCATGGCAGCCGAACATCGCCACCCTTCCCGAGGTGAAGAAAGTGCTCAAGGATACCTGGTAAGGCTTCTCCTGCTCCTGCTCCTGCTCCTGCTCCTGCTCCCCGTCACTATCCTCCCTGGTCCTCCTCCTCCTCCTCCTCCTCCTCCTCCTCCTCCTCCTCCTCCTCCTCCCTCCTCCTCCTCCTCCTCACCCTCCTCCTCCTCCCCCTCCTCCTCCTCCTCCTCCTCCTCCTGCTCCCCGTCACTATCCTCCCTGCTCCTGCTCCTGCTCCTGCTCCTGCTTCTGCTCCTGCTCCTGCTCCTGCTTCTGCTCCTGCTCCTGCTCCTGCTCCCCGTTACTATCCTCCCTGCTCCTGCTCCTGCTCCTGCTCCTTCTCTTGTTCCTGCCTTCTGCCCCTTCCCTCATTTCTCCTCTCATCTCATTGCCCTCACCTTGTATTGCTGTCTCTCCTTCCATCTTTGAGATCGATACAGGAAAGACGTCAAAACCATGACGTCTCATCTGAATCGTCAGGATATTTCCAGCAAGGTATAGCACCTTGCTTCTCCTCCTCTTCCTCTTCTTCTTCCTCTTCCTCCTCTTCCTCCTGTCTCGTCTGTGACCTCCTCCTCCTCATCCTGTCACTTCCCCCTGCTCATCCTGTCGTGTTTCCCCCTTCCTTGTCCTAGTCGTCCATCTCCTGCCTCGTTCCTTCTTCTCTCTCGAACCTCTTCATCCTCCATCTCTCTTCTGACAACATTGCAGGCTCGCATTCAAATCGAGTCCTTGCTCGAGCTCTTTCTCACCAGTCGCCTGGAATTTCTTTCAGACTTCTCTCAGACTTCTGACGTTCTTGTTGAGCTCCAACAATGTTACAAGAAGATCGCAAAGTAAGAGCCTCCTTCATCTCTTCTCATCTGCTTCTCCTATTTCTTTTGCTATCTCCTTCTTCTCTTTCTTCTCTTTTCATCTTCTCCTCCTGTTTCTTGCGCTATCTTCTTTTGTTCCTTCTGTGTTGCTTCTACTCCTCTTCTTTATCTCCCGTATCTTCTCAGTCTTCCATCCTTCATCTCATTTTCTTTCAGAGTTCTTGGGCTGGAAAAGCCCCCGAAAGGAAAGAAGGTCAGTTGCAAGAGGAGGAAGAGGATGGAAAAGGAGGACGAGGACAAGGACGAGGACAAGGACGAGGACGACGAGGACGAGGAGGACGAGGAGGATGGAAAAGGAGGACGAGGACGAGGACGAGGACGATGAGGATGGAAAGAGAGGAGAACGACGAGGAGAATGAGGAATAAAAAATATGAGAGTCAGATTAGGACAAAAGGGAAGAGGAGGAGGAGGAAGTAGTGGTAGTGGTGGTAGTGCAGATGATGGTGATAGTGACGGAGATTCGCTTCTAACTGGGAGGAACTTGGCAGGAAGCAGCTAAGGAGGAGGAGGAGGAGGAGGAGGTGATGACAGTCTTCGTGGAGCTCCTCCTCTCTCTCCTGGCACGACCGTCTGCTGCTCTTCGCTCGGTCGTCAAGAGAAACTTCCGTGCCTTCTGCGACTTTCTCACCCCCGGGGCTGTTGGCGTGTTGACCACCGTCCTCTCTCAGTCCGGTAAGGCCCTCCTCTTCCTCCTCTTCCCCCTCTTCCTTCTCCTCGTCCCCTTCCTCCCCTCTCTCCTCCTCCTCCCTTGCTCACATCCCTGCTATCCCTCGCCTTCCTCTTCTCACTCCTCTTCCCTCCGCCTCTCTTCCATCTTCTCCTCCTCTCCCTGCCTCGTTCCTTCGTCTCAGTTTCTATCCCTCGGCCCCTAATCTTACGTCTTTTGTCTTGCAGACAAGGATTTGTTCAATGAAGAAGCAGAAGAGGAGGAGGAGGAGGAGGAGGAGGACGATGACGATGACGACGACGACGACGAGGACGATGAAGATGAAGATGAAGATGAGGATGACGACGAAGATGAAGATGAGGATGACGACGAAGATGAAGATAAGGAGCCGAAAGCTTCAGCAGCAGACGTTCGAAAGGTGAGGAGGAAGAGAGGGAGGAGAGGATGAAACTGAGCAGAGCGCAGGTGAATGTGGAGGAGGATGACGATGATGAGGAGTGGGACGATGAGAAGATGTTTGCCATGGACAAGCTGATAGCCGAGGCGTTCAAGAGCAAGCAGGAGGAGAGGAGGCTCGCCAAGCAGAGCAGCAGCATGTCGCTGATCCTCAAGCTCCGCACCCTTGAGCTTGTTGAGATCTTTCTCTCGCGCTCTCCCTCCTCTCCTCTCGTCCTCGACCTCCTCGAGCCTCTCCTCGCCCTCGCCGTCAGCGGAGGGTCAGACGGTAGCGCAGGAGGAGAGTCGAGGGAGCAGCGGGTGGATTTCTTCGCCAAGGCTTCGATCGTGTACGCGGAGAGGCTGTGCAAGCTCAAGACTGTACCGCAGCTGAGCAGCGAGGAGGAGGAGGAGAAGGTTGCTTCTTCCCTGAAGATGCTCTTCGCTCGGATGGGGGCCCCGCACCAGGGGGAGCTAGTCGCTGCCGGCCTCTTCTTCCTCCTCCGCGTCATCTCGGCCAACAGAAGTCGCGAGGGGCTGGTGGAGGAGGCGACGAAGCAGCTGCGTGAGAGTCTCCTGCTGTGGACCTCTAAGAAGCACTCGAGTATCCGCCCGCTTGTCTTCCAGCAGCTCGTCCAGCGTCACCCCTGGCTCGGCTGGCGCGTTGCCGAGTCGCTCGCGTCCTCCCTGCCCTCGAGCAAGTCGGACTTCCTCGCCGGCGCCTGCATGGACATCCTCCTCTCCCTCCTGCGCGACCAGCAGGCCATGACCAAGGAGGAGAATCTGCCGCATGCTCGAGCTCTCTTCGCTTCTCTCCCTGCCCTGCTGGCTGCAGCTGTTGGCGACAACCTGGAGGAGGAGGGAGGGAAGAAGAAGTCTCGCCTCCTCTCCTCTGCCCTCGCCCTCTCCACCCGCCTCGTGCAGGCGGCAGGCAAGTTGCCTGAGCTGAAGCTTGAGCTCGCGCCCCTCCGGTCCCTCGCTGAGAAGATCTCGACGAGCAAGAGCAGCAGCAGCTCCAAGGCGATCAAGGACTCGACCAAACGGGTGAGCTCTTCCCTCCTCCTCCACCTTCCTCCTCCCTCCTCGTCCTCTTTCCCTCCAACCCGCCCTCCTCCTTTCATCCTTTTCTCTTCTTCACGTCTCCTCTCCCCTCCTGCTCTTGATTGACTTGCTGCAGCTGGTGGCGTTGATGGATGCCAAGGAGCCCAAGGAGAAGAAGCGAGGAAGCGACTCGGCAGCAGCGACGCCGAGAAAGAAGTCGAAGAAGTGAGGGAGACAGAGAAAGGAGAGAGAAGGAGGGATGAACTAGAAATGTACAGAGTGAAACCAGGAAAGAGATGAACGACTTCGAAATAATGCAACAATAACAATCAGATGATCTTTTCTTCCTTCTTGCTTGTCCTCTCTCTTCTCTCCTCTTCCTCCTCATTTTCCTTGTGTTTGAAATCTCTGTGCTGTTCTCCATCATAGTTTTCTCCATTTTCTCCATCATCATTGTCTTCATCATAGTTTTCTCCATCATCATTGTCTTCATCATAGTTTTCTTCACCGTTGTTTTCTTCTTCATATTCTTCATATTTACAACTTGCAATCTACGACCTCTCACTTCGAATCACCCCAGAACGCAAGTGAGCCCCATGACAAGATCATTCCTTCCTCCATCCTCCCTCCTATATCCCCCGACCTGCCGATCCCCGTCAGCTCTCCTCCTCCTCCCTCCCCCCCCCCAACGGTTCTTAAAACTTATCGCTCTCTCTCTCTCTCTCTCTCATAAAAGGCCGAAGATATTGGGCACCCCCGATGCCACTACAAAATACCATGAATAATGGCTGGTGGCGCAGAGTGGTCTACGCTCCGTTCACTCTCAAAATCTATACCATGCCATGTTATATGCGGTGACTGTCCCCCACGTCTGTCGATGAGATGTATCTGCATTATATGGTCTAGGAGTACGAGGAGATCTAGCATCTGCACACGTGACAAGATGCCCTTCCAGCCTACAAGAGAATCATAGCTTGGGAAGTTCGTGGACCCAGACGTCTTTCCCATTGCATTGTGTGAACTCCATAGCCAGTTCATTGCAATGAGCGCTGACGACTCGTTAGCATTCGATGGCTGAGCTG